AAAGATCCAGTGCGGAGTCTTAAACTGTGGGTTGTTTCTACTTCCCACTGCTTCAGTGGAGGAGGCTCTCCGTGCAATCAAGACACTGCGCAGTGACAAGGCTCCGCTAGTGAAGAAGCGTCAAATCATGAGAACTATGTTCGGAGACTACAGGAAGAAGATGGAGGAGGAGCAGTGTAAACAGCTGAAGCTCATGCAAGCAGGTAGGAGAACACTGTGTGCAGGGGTAATTGAGGAGGAGAGCAGAACTTCCTTCACTCCCACCCTCCATTATAGCTCTGCAGAATGGGAGTTCAACACGTAAGGTGACTAAACATCTCTTCTTGCTCTTTTCTCCCCTCTGTAAGCTGCGAAATCTGCCAGGGTTGTGGAAGTGAAGGAAAACATCCGCAAGAAGAACTGCCAGGTCTTGAAAAAAACAGCAGGATCCCCTTCAGCGTCACCCAGGACATCTAACACAGACTCATTCAGATTCACAACTTCCCAAGAAAAGTTTTGCTTTAATTTTTTTTAGGAAAGTTTTAGACTAAAACTGTGGCTAAAAACTATCCCAAATCTTCTGCCTACCTAAGAAGGGTAGAAGGATGCTGTGCAGGGAAAATGTTACTTAGGAATCTCTGCATATTTCCCAAAGAAAGGATTCTCTGTCAGAGTGCTTTATGTGGAGGTGCGTAACAGATCTGCCTACTATACGCATAACCCCAATACTCAGTCTATGTAGTAGGCCTCCCTTCCTCACACTGTAGAAAGGCACTTTTTCAAATGATCAGCACAGATTCTGGTATCCAGAAAGCACTGGGCAGTGTATTTAATCAAATACAATGTGCAAGAGTTCAGGAACTGAAAGGAGAATGAGTGGGAGTCACCTTTGTTCATTCATTTGCCTAACTGACAGGTATAGGCTTAGAAGAGAACTGCAAATGCTGATTTACTAGCTTAGGGATGTCAGGGCAGGTGTTTCCAGACAGGGGAAGATTTTAGTTTCTGGAGCCAGGTTCTTGCCATGCGGGAAGATGCACAGTCAGTTCTTAAAAAAAGCAGCTTACCTTATAAGTAGCCCAGTGACAACCAGCAGTGACTCAGAGGAGAAATCGATTCCATCCCAAACCTTGCGTGACAGTGAAATGAACTCTGAGAGCCCAAAGAATCTGTTGCATTTGATCTGTATTAAATTTTTACTTTCTGGACAATTGAATGTACATCGCCGGTGCATTGATATTGCTTCAGCCACTGAACCGGTCTCTCCTATCTTCACACAGAAGATCTTCCCCACTTAAAAAGCTGAAGGAACAGAAGGCCTTTAAAAAGAAACATGGTATCAGATGTCCCTAGGGAGCAGTGCTTTCCTCCCTTTTATAGACCAGTCAGTCATCCTGTAAGGGAAGCGAGAGATGGAAGTGCAATTGGATTCCAGGGTGTACTGAGAGAGTGGAAAAATAGTTTTTTGAAGTCTTTTCCTGCAAATGTTGGTTGCAAAAAAGGAATGTATTTTATTGCTAAGCTCAGATAGAGTAAAATCACATCTGGGAGGATTTATTTTGTTTTAAATATTTAAAATAATGGCTGTTCAGATGCACAAGGGGAAAGTGAAACTGGATAACATATCTGATAAGGAGAAATATATAGAGAAGACGTGAATAAAACTAGAAATCAATAGCTCAGTCCGTTCTTTTTCTTCCTGGGGAGCACTGTTGTTATTTTGACTATATAGAACAACACAGTACAGTATTTTTCAGACTTGTTTTGGATTTCCAGGATTTTATATTAAATGTGAAAAGGCTGTATCATTTGCAAAATTTTAGTATTTTCATGTCGCTTTCTGAGATTTAGTAGCATACTCTATGTGGCCTTGGAATTGTAGCCATTTTCTTATCTAGCTGGTTATGCAGTGCACACCTGAGAGATAGTGATTTTGTTTCCCCCATCTCGTTTCAAGTAAAGCTAGAGTTGATAAAACTTTACAAAAAAAATCCTGTGCTTTGAGAGGCTGGGAGAGTATTCTGGGAAGCATTTGTACATGATTGCCTTGTTCTTTAGGCATTCACAGTTAGAATAAAGATACTGCTGTGGTGGACCTTTGATGTAACCTAATCCTGCCAGTTTTATGCTCTTATCTCTAAAGAGAGCAGGGAAAAATGCCTTCATAATACATGAGAGGCTCCTGTGGTTTTCACAGGTCTTCACATAAGGCTGACTTGCAAAGCCAAGCCATTCCTTTATTCCTTTAATGGTGCTTCAGTACTGGAGGACTCAGAAGGCAAATGTTCGTCAAAGTGATCTTTTATAGTCCTGCGTATCATGCTTGACCTGGGGACCTGAATGCAAGACCCAGAGTAAGCTGGATCAGTTCCACAGGTAGGATGTGTGATGTTGGACAAAACGTTTTGCCTTTCTGTGTCAGCTCCCTAGTTGTATAGGCAAGGTGATGCTGCCTGCATTTTTGACAGACATATCAAAGTTAATTCCTAAATGATTGTGCCTTGAAGAGGCAACCTTACATTATTTTGCCTCTGAGATTACGTCAGTCTTTACCTCACTCTTAAGCTCTGTAATGTTTGAAACTTCTTTACTGCAATATCACTCATTTAGACCAAAAGGAAACAAGCAGTGTGTATTAGAAGTTAGGAAATGCTGTCCCTGCTCATCAGTCCATTCCCCTTCATAGGAACCATGACACAGTCTTAGTTACATTTTTAAAAAAATGTTTCCTCTTTTTAGCATTGTTTTCTTCTGGATTTCAGTGACATCTCTTGTTAGAGCAGTATCAGGTCTGGATCAGGGCTTTGCTATACTAGCTACTGTAATCCATGCAGACGGAGGTATGATCCAGACCCGAAGGCAGTCATGGTGTATGACAATGAGGAAGAAAGGAGATGATACCTGCTTGGAGGTCTTTGTTCCAGTGTTCTTAATATGGTAGAAAATAAGTGCGCTTCTGACCTGCCTGTCTTTTCCTCCTCAGCTTTGTGCCATGCACTTGGGGTCAGTGTAAAAGGGGGGTGACTATGATTTTTACCGTATCTCTTTGGTGACTGTCCACCTAAATGTAGTGCAGCAGCTCCAGGCTTAGGCTTGTAGGCAGCAAGCTGTTCACAAGTTCTTCCAGCATGGCTGTGACCTCAGGCATGAGTTAAAGGCAAGGCAAGGCAAGAATGGAGTGCAAAGTACAACAATGCCTCTGGAGCATAATGTGCTTGATAGCATTGGTCTTGAAAAAGTAAAACTTGAGGATCAGTTTTATAAAGCGAGTAATGGGATCACAGAATGCTATAATCTTTTTTTTTTTCCAGACCATACATCCTAGCAAAGCAGAGGAAAAGTGTCACTTCTGGGAACAAAGTGAGGAATTTTTGAAAGGCTGTTTCTCTGGCATGTCGAACCCAAGAATGTTTTCACGCAGATGCAATAGAAATCTGGGTGTGCTCTCTGCCCCTTTTAGGCTTGGCACCCTCATCTGTAAAAAGATCCTCTAGCAAAGGTTAGGAAACGCAATCCCATTCCAGACAGGCCCTGCCTCCAACGGGGAGAGAGCAGTGCCCATGGCCAGCCTTCCCCTCGTGGATTGGCCCTGTCCTGGTGGCTTCTGATCCCTGCTTCCATTTTGGCTGTTAACCTCAGTGCTGGGAGCTAATTGGTAAGTTTTCCCAATCCCTTCCCTTGGGGTTCGTCAGTAGAAAGGGATTTATTGGTCCCCGGGCTGCCCAACTTCTGCTTGAAGTAATCAGGGGAAAGGGGGGCGGAGTCACTGAGGAACAGCCTACAAAGGATCTCCAAGGGATCCCTGCAAAGTTCAGCTGAAATTACCTCCCGAGTCCCAGCAGCTGCTTCTGCTAGGACTGCCTCTCCCGAGGCCAGCAAAGAGAGAAGGAAGCCAGCAAAATTGGTCTTACTGAATCTGTATCTCGAGTGACCAGATTCCCTTCTGTAACTTATTTTTTTTGGAAAGTGCTGAAGGTGGACTGTGGAATCGGCATCTAATGACCCCTAAAGGATAAAATATTTTATCTTTCTTAGGGGGAGGAAAAACCCAATCCTCATTTTGAATTAGAAAGAAGAAAAGCTTACCACTTCAAGCAAGACAACAATTCAAATATTAGAAGAGTTACTATTTGAAGAGTAATAAGCATTGGACCTGCAGTTCCTTAGTTTGTAGCTGCAAAGTGCCTTACACCAGGATTTTCCAGGAGTCCTTATCTCTGAAGATACAAAGGGGTTACAACTGGTAACAAAAAAGGAGAAATAGTGGTATTTTAAGATCATAAGGAGCTGGAATAGATGAGCTTGTATCTTTCTGCTGAAGCCATTTTACTCCAAGGAAGAAGTAATTTTATTTTCTTTGCTTAAAAATTGTTGCTGTTCACTGTTTGTGCTGCTTGCATATTCAGACCCGAAGGAAGCTTTGTAAGTCACACTGCTTTAAAAAAAAAAAAAAAAAATTGAGCTTTGACATAAACTACCAAAGTGCTTTCATTACTAGCAACAATCTTTTCCTGTGGGTGCTGAAAACTGGGAAGCACTGAACATCTATTGTATTTGGCGTATTTGTCTTTTTTACCTTTAAGTACATCAACAGGCACTAGCCCTTTGGTATCTCACCACCACAATGGAAGAAGTCTGGGTTGTGTATCTGTGCCTGATCTTGCTTATCGTGGTGCTTTTTCTAATGAAGCATAACCCACATTTGGAAGAGGCCAAGAAGGACAGGGAAAGCAAAAGCCCCCCACCATCCTCTTCCTTTTCTCCCAGTACTGTTGGCAAACAGCTGGAGCACACCCAGGAAGAGCTGGAGCACTATCTGGAGAGGCTAACCCATGTCTTGTTTGACTCGGAAGCTAGGAAAAGGGATGGCCACCATGATCAGAAGTCCCACCACCAACAGCACAGAACCACTGATGTTACGTCTGAAACTAAAGAGCCTTCAGGGAAGGAGGCGACATATTCTCAGTATCTGTCAAGCCACACCAGGGTTCAGGTATGAGGCCTCTAAAGAATTTCAGACTCAACCAGACTTCAGAGCTCCTGGCTGAAGCTGTGAGTTCTGTTGAAATATGTGGTCCATGAATTTGGATGGAAAGAGGCGGGGGGGGGGGGCATCTCACTGTGTTGAAGTATGACACTAATTCATACTTTTGCACTGTATAATTTCAACCTTAAGTAGTCATTCAGACATAGCTCCATGTGGCATGAGTTGTATGTTGCTATTACCATCTCTGCACGGGTACGTGTCTATATGGTAAATTACGTTCCTCCTTCTATTATTAGAAACAGGTATCATTTTTTACTTAAGGAAATAATGGGGCAGCTCTTTAGCTGTTATAAATCTACCCACTTTCACCACATAAAATAGCATTTTTCTAGTTTACTTAGCTAAGGATCTAGCCCAGTAGGGTACAGGAGCTCTGCAGACGC